CCACTACGCAACTCCATACAATGCACTACTAGTTAAATGAAATGTACAGAGAGATCAATAAACAAATCGATTTCTTTTAATTAATTAATTTAATTTTTGTATGGGATTACGTAGATCCAAATATGGAAAATTACTACTGCTGATCTGTGTAAAATAATAAAGCAAATGTCAAATATTAACAGCAATTCAATCGTGTAAAATAATTGAGGGTATAATACGGCTAGAGCTTAAATAAGTAGGATAAAAATGGGTAAATAACACAATTATGGGTTTAGTGACGTAAATTTGTAGGTAAATGAGGAACAATAGTAACACAAAAACTTAATTGACGCAATTTTAAAATGACACAGTACTGTAAAGCTTAAGAGAAGAGTAGTAGCGTCCCTGTTATCCGTCGAAGCAAATGAGCACCAGGAAATTAATCTCCAGAGACAAGAAACAGTAGCTCAAGTTTTGCTGCTGAAGTAACTACGCCAATCAACAGATGAAAGAGAAGTACCTACAAAATGTTAGATTTTTTTTTCAACTACAACAAATTACACAGTATAATAAAATAAGGGTCCAAATCGAGGCTCAGAGGCAAGACTAACTAGACACAAACTGATGCCCAATTGACAAAAATACTTTTTTTTTCGAAACTAAAAGAGATTACACTAAAACCGAGGCCCAAATCAAAACAGACTTTTTTTTAAAGCAAAAGTAAATTAATTCTTATGAGACAAGCTTGGGCCATAAATTGAAGCCCAATCAAACACCAAACCTCCAGACGCATTCGAATTCAATGAGGCGGCTAGCGGCAGAAGCACGACAGCGAGCTAGTATAGTAGTGGTTAGGTTGTTGACGAATTTTGGACCACCAGCGGCTGACTCGAACGTGGGATCGCAGAGACAGAATCGATTGAGGCTGATTCGCGTTGCTGGGGAGCTCCGACTTTTTGGATTTTTTTTTTTGTGGAAATTTGCAGTTGGTGATGTGGGAATAGATGGAACGCGTGGAATTGATTGGTTCTCAATGACGGTGGCAGTGAGGAATTGTGGCTACGGTGCTATTGGTGATTAAACAGATTACCGGAGTGAATGGCTATAGGATTTTCGGATCTGCTGAGTGCAGTATTTGCGGGTGGGGCTGATGGTACGTTGGTTTGGTTGTTGTGCGTAGGCAAGTGGTGGGTTTACGGTGATTGTATGGTAGTTTATGGTTTTTGTCGGTGGCTGGAATTTTAGGAGAAAATTGATGGGTGTTGAGCAGTGTTAGGGGATGCCAATTGATGATGGAACCAGGTTTAGCTCTGATACCAAATTTGATGCAGAATCAAAGAGAGAAAAGCAAGAAGAAGAAGAAGAGAAGAAGCCAAGAAGAAAGAGAGGATGAGAAAACGTGGCTAAGCCAATTTCACTATTAATTAATCATTTCACTGAAGTCAACTACAATGATAATCTAATAAATAGTAGAAAATAACCTAATTTTAAGGGTTTGGGCCAAACCCGCTTAAACAAGCCCAACAATACGAAATACAAATAATAAAGTCTAATAACAATAAAATAAATCTCGATGATGTCCGCATCATTATTGGCTCAACACACCTTCATCAATCTTCTTATTTCTTAATGTGTGCCTTATCTGCACTCTTGGATGCATATGTTAGAAGTGCATGTCGAGGCTTCTCTAATAAAAGACGGTAGATGTTGCAATCGTACACCTTCGATACTCAAGTCAGTAAATGAACAAGAAGATTTATTGGGAAAATATGAACGGAAAAGAATCAGGTATGATTTGTTTATAGAGTGCGATTATCAATTTGCAATTACATTTAAATGACACCAGGTGTAAGTATTATAAGCAAAGGAATGAAACCAAATTATCAAGTTCCTAAATACACATGTAAAATAAAGTGACATAACACGTAATTCGTGAAAAAAAGGTAACAACATCTTGTTATTCATATGAGATGTTGGTTTTCCAAGAATTCTATTTATTTTCAGGTAGAAGTATTAAAAAAAAAATTAAAATGTTTTTTTTTTTTTTTTCTGTTTTTCAAATAAAAGTGAAGTAGGTGTAAAACTTTTTTGTACGTGGTGTAATTTCCTCTTCATGGATCTAGTAATATACAACAAAAATCCGGCCCAGGCCCAGGCCCAGGCCCGTGATAATAACGAAATGACAAAAGCATTTGTTGGCAATTTAAAACAGGGAATACAAATAATCATGAATTAATTAGCTTAGCAAATATTGAAATGATAAAATGCTTTTTCACAGTGCGCAATTGTTAAATTCACATTTGCTTTTAGCATCTTTTGCTCTTTCTATACCAAATTTGCAAACGTAGGGTTTGTTTGGTTGTAATTTTAATTAGATTTAGTAAAATATGATAGTTTGATAGTATTTATTCAATTAAAATATTAAGATATATTGATTGAGATGTTCATCAGTAAATTTGTTTTTCCACTTTTACATCTTCACCAAACGAGCTCTTAATAAGAATAGCTTGATAAAAATGTAATGATGACGACTCAAAATATTTTACTACACTTCAAGTTTGTAATAAGAAATTGATATTGGATCAAGCTAATTTGTTAAGTCATAAAAAGGAGTATCATTGTTTATATCAATTTACAATCTCCAAGTTGATACGTTAATTGATTTTTAAAATTTCTCAAAACAACTTAATGTTAAAGGCACGAGACGGAAAATGTTCTCTCTTGTACCAAGTTTCTTAAAAAATCTCATCTTCTCGTCTTCTTCTATAGACGAACTAGACAAATTCCCCTTTTTCCGCATTATCAACTCCCTCCCTTGACATTTTGAAATATTTGTAATTGATGAATAATGGGACAGATTAGAGATCAAGATATGATGCGTTTTATTCATGATTCAAAAGAGTCTATAAAACGATTAATCAAGCAATAAATCGGTGTATAATTATCAAGTGAATTCAATTAATGGCGAGAATTTGACTATAAAATTTTGTTGTTCATTCAATATAATTTGATGAGAGTACAAACAGGGCATCTCTCCTTGTTATAAATCATCTTTGAATGTAGTGGAACAACCCCATATACATAAAAATGCATTACTTTTTATGCTACAACGGTTCTTTTTTCAATCATGTTTGGTGTATATCACGGTAAGCATCATGATTTACGTTTTGTCACGTGACATTATTCAATTGAATAGTTTAAAAAAACAGTTTTTCCAATCAGATATTTGTTGATAACAGAGCAAATGTCAACAATAGTATGATAAATGAGTGTATAAATGACGTAATCCTTCTTTTTTTATACATTATTTCCCCTTTCTTAGCACACCGTCGCCTAAGTGCCTCTCGACAAAAAAGTGGGGACCAATGGGAGGCTCACACGATGAGCTATTAGTGAACGGGGGTTTCCATGTAATGAAGAAAGGGTATCCATATTTCTTGCCAATTTTGTAAAATCTTCACCATCCACAATGACAGTCCACACAATGTGGAAAGCAATATTGGACATGAATGCATGATATTATAATCAATAAGGTCATAACTCGTTTTCCTTGCTTAATAATTTTTAGTACTATTAAAATATATCCTTCTAAACATGGAGTTAGTGAAAAAAAAAGAGAGAGAGAGAGATAATATTTCGTTCTTAGCATTTGAGCTAGCTCTTTAGCTAGCTCGCCGACAGGCGTTACGTCGAGGGTTTGATTGGGTAACTGTAGGATCCGTTTGATTGGTTTAAATTCCATGAAAAATGTCACATTCAAGAAATTCCTTTTAATTTTATTTTCAAGCAATCAACGAATCTCTCAGGGCCGGCCCTGCACACGATGATTAGTGAAGTAAATTTCAATAAACAGATAGGGCTTGTGAACGGGGGTTTCCATGTAATGAAGAAACCGTATCCATATTTCTTGCCAATTTTGTAAAATCTTCACCATCCACAATGACAGTCCACACAATGTGGAAAGCAATATTGGACATGAATGCATGACATTATAATCAATAAGGTCATAACTCGTTTTCCTTGCTTAATAATTTTTAGTACTATTAAAATATATCCTTCTAAACATGGAGTTAGTGAAAAAAAAAGAGAGAGAGAGAGAGAGAATATTTCGTTCTTAGCATTTGAGCTAGCTCTTTAGCAAGCTCGCCGACAGGCGTTACGTCGAGGGTTTGATTGGGTAACTGTAGGATCCGTTTGTTTGGTTTAAATTCCATGAAAAATGTCACATTCAAAAAATTTCTTTTAATTTTATTTTCAAGCAATCTGTCACGTCTTAATTCAAATTCCTGTAAGGATTCTGTGGCAAAACCAAGAGTAACTTTCATCAGAAAATATCCCATATGCGTTAAGAGTAAAGAAATTCCTCCATTAAACATTTCTCTCTCTCTGTTCTGTGCGACGTAAAAACTTTAGAGAGAGAGGGAGAGAGAGAATCATCTCATTTCTTAGCTTTCTCTTTTCTTGAGAAATTTGATTTTTATATTGGTTTTTTGCAAAACAAACGGAAAAGGAGATGGTCCAAGAAAATAGGAGTGAGGGATTCAGAAAATACGGGAAAATGGATTCGGACACAATTGAAGGGGTTTCTATTTCATATCAAGAAAACGCTAATCAGAATAGCAGCAGCACGAAATATGTGATGGCTTGTGCCATCTTTGCATCTCTCAATTCTGTGCTTCTTGGCTATGGTTCGTGCATCCCTTATCCTTTTTATGTTACTGTTCTTGATAAATATTTGTGTATTTCTTTTATGTTAATGTTCTTGATAAATAATTACTTATTTGGCAATGTACCTTGTGACTAATGATATTCTAGTCTGATACCTATTTTTTTCTACTTGAAATCCCTTTTCTATAGTTTTACTGTTAAACCTTTTCGTTAGCTTAATACATATGAAGTTAGAAATTTTCATTTGGGACAAAAATGCTTTTTGGGAATTTTATCAATTGCCCATTGATTGTTAATAAAAAATGGTGATTTGGGAAAAGTTTAACGAGATGCCTGACTCTGCGCAAATTTGTTTCTACCATTTTCCTTTCTGGCAAAACATGCAGGATTTCAATAGTTTTTAGGATATACGAAAGATTTAAAAAAAAGGAATATGGGAACTACTGCAATGGAATATGGAATTTTATCAATTAAGTTCTGCCCTAGCTGTTATGGATCAAATCCTATCCTAGTGCACGAGAGAAATATAGGAAACGAAATACATTTATAGTGGTTCTGCAATAGTTTTTAATTACTATGAAGAAAAAGAAAATTACAGTGGTGATGTCATGCCACTTGGTTCGTCTCTACCAACATTGCATACAGATTATCCGATGTTTCCATGTTCAAATGCATAGTCACATCTTTAAATTTCTTTCTTAGCGCTATAATATCTACAGCATATAATTGTTGCTTTCTAAAAGTGTCTACACCCACATTACTCACGAGCCATTTTATTTATTCAAAGGGATTTAAAGATCACTGAGGTCCAAGAAGAAATCCTTGTTGGAATCTTGAGCATTATTTCACTTCTGGGAAGCTTAGCAGGTGGTAAAACATCAGATGCCATTGGTAGAAAATGGACAATGGCTTTTGCAGCCATTGTATTTCAAACAGGTGCAGCTATAATGGCGCTTTCCCCTTCCTTTACAGTGTTAATTGTGGGCAGGATTTTTGCAGGAATTGGGATTGGTTTCGGAATCATGATTGCACCGGTATACATTGCAGAGATATCACCTACAGTATCAAGGGGATCATTGACATCCTTTCCTGAGATTTCCGTGAATTTTGGAATTCTTCTTGGTTATGTCTCAAATTATGCCTTTTCGGGATTACCTGCACATATAAGTTGGAGGATTATGCTTGCTGTAGGGATTCTTCCATCAGTTTTTATTGGTTTTGCACTGTTCGTTATTCCTGAATCCCCGAGGTGGCTGGTAATGCAAAATCGGATTGAGGAAGCAAGGATGGTGCTATTGAAAACCAATGAAAATGCAAGTGAAATCGAGGAGAGGTTAGCAGAGATACAACAGGCTGCAAGTTTTGTTAATGCTGGGAAGTACGAAGAGAGAGCTGTATGGCATGATTTATTAAATCCTTCACCTGGAGTTCAACGAATGCTGATTACAGGTTGTGGAATCCAGATTTTTCAACAGATAACTGGGATTGATGCAACTGTATACTATAGCCCTACCATATTTAAAGATGCTGGTATTCAGGATGAGGCTCAGCTTCTTGCAGCAACTGTTGCTGTTGGATTTACGAAAACAATTTTTATTTTGATTGCGATATTTCTTATTGACAAAGCTGGCAGAAAACCACTACTTTATGTGAGTACAATTGGAATGACTGCCTGTCTCTTCACTTTAGGCCTAACCCTTTCTACCCTTGGTGATGGAAAACTCGGGATTGGCATGGCAATCGTGTGTGTGTGCGGAAATGTAGCTTTCTTCTCGGTGGGGATAGGCCCTGTTTGCTGGGTTGTATCATCTGAAATTTTCCCCCTAAAACTTCGAGCTCAAGCATCAGCCATCGGGGCTGTGGGGAGTAGGGTTAGTAGTGGCCTGGTTGCCATGTCTTTCCTCTCTGTTTGTCGTGCAATTACAGTAGGAGGAACATTTTTTGTCTTTGCAGCAATTTCAGCTCTTTCCGTTGCTTTTGTATACAAGTGTGTTCCAGAAACGAAGGGGAAATCATTAGAGCAAATTGAAATGCTTTTCCAGAATGACAGGGCATGGGAAGGCAATGAAGTGGAACTTGAAGATATGGAGCATAAGCATCTAATGCAGAGCAGTGAGTCATGAAAGAAGTTTGTTTTCTCCACACAAGTTATATTCGAATTATAGTAACCGGCCAAAAATACAATCACACAGGATACGATATTTCAGATACAATGAAATGTTTAAACATAACTTTAGCAGATTGTCTTATTTCTAGACTGATTTTTGTACATTTTCCTCTTTTAAATAGAATTTTTATACTTCTATAGATTATAATGGAAGTTGTTCCAGAGAATATCTTCTTGTTGTTTACTTTCTAGAGTTAAGTGCTAAACACGTTTTATTTTCTAGTTACATTCCCCGGGAGAAATCTCAAATTGGACGGAAGTGTCACATGTCACAAATTAGTGTATGGATGAAATAAATGTCTGGTAGTTAGTCCAGTCTATGGAGGGTTTTGCATTCCTTTTCACTTAATAAGTTGAGTCACCAACCACAATTCTTGAAACCAACATGTGAAAACAGGTAATGAGATGAGATTACACATTTAATGCCTGTAGAACTGATTTATGCAAAAACAAATTAATATATACTGTCTGCAGAGAATATATAAAAAAAGCAACTTAAAATTAGAATATAAGTTAATGGATTTAATTTTCTATTAATTATATGAATATTAAATTACTTCAGAATATGCCACACAAAACATTCATAAATATTTTTCGTAAAAATGGATCATCAGCTCGAACGCGTACAATTCTGAAACAGTTTCTGAACTTAATTTGCATCCAGTTTCATCAGTCATTTCTCTTTTATCAGTTTATATGATAGCAAAATTTACTGTACGGTGATAAACTTTACAGAACATAGAACAGGCACGCATCACAATTTACGCTTCCTAAAATTCTGCCTACGATTTTCATGTCACGTCCCAACAACAGCAAAAGGAGGAAGGTTGTGGTATGTTGCTAGATAGGAACCTGAATATACATAGAATCCCTTTAGTCGACCCCAAAATTTATTGAGACCCCAAATTTATGGGAACAAACTCATAAAGAGATAAACCAGACAATATTATGTCTTTAACTGCAGAGAAAGATACAGCAAACTAAAAGGTCACAGTAAAATCTATCCATGGCAAATGTAAAGTCCAGGAACACTATACTTAAAATTTACACCCAAACATTGAGATGTCAGTTAATTTTATTCTGGTAGTAACAAACAATCAAAATTTACCACTGAAAAATAAAACAAAATCCCAACACTTTATCTAATCCTTCGGTTTATAAAGAGGAGAAGGTTATTGCTCTTCAATTTACAATTCACTTGTGACTGCAATTTACACTTTCTTTGATTGATCCGAGGAACGGACTGACTGAGTCCATAATTCCTACACAAGATTCTAACGTTTTGAAAGATGAATGCAATGAGAATATGCATACACTTATTCTTATTTTATGCTTACAACGACGCAAATGAAGAGGAATTGCAGAAAACACAGGAATCAAACATTATTCGTTCGATAATGCTTCCTTTTTCAACCTCAAATCCTCTGCTCTGCTTATTCCAGAGATGCAATGTGAAACTTTGGCTCCGAATTTGGCTGAGCTTTGCAATCAACCATTTCGAGTGAGTTTCATTCTTCGGCCCCTGGAAAAGGCTGCCGATCTTATTCCAATAAACCGGATAAAAAGCGATAGGTGGCAACACATTAAAATTGTATCCAGGTCTCCCAGTGATTCTTGAAACAACCCTTGAAACCAAATAAGGTCCATTGTGTCCCCATTTGTTTCCATCAAATGTGAATGCAAATTCTTCAATAAACTTGTAAAGAAGTCGATGGCCTTTGTCAAAGATCATGACAGCATTGTTTAATCTGCTCCAATTTCTTGTTTCATGATTAATAGTCTGAGCCCCAATTGTATTCCTTAGCCTCTTAAAACTCTTCAATACTAGAATATCAGTGTCTAAATAAATCCCACCAAATCTGTACAATAACTCAAGCCTTAGTAAATTTGAGAGGTTCTGACCTAAAGAAACCTCTCCAGGATACACATTTCCTTGCATTAACTGGTTATACCAAGCCTGCGCAGCAGTGTCATTGAACAAATAATTGAAGTCAGGAGAAATTGCAATCAATTTAAATCCCTTATCCCAAAAAGGGCCTCAAAATCTGCATCCCTTTTCTTGAATCCATTGAACTGGATACTATAATTAAGCAACCATTTGGGTGTGTTTTGAATAAACTCTCTACGGTAAACAACTCTCTATCCCCAAAAGACTCTACTGAAGAAATCCAGGTCATGAAAAATCGAAACTTACCAGAAGAATTTAACGGATTGGCATTAAAAAACTCTTTCACTCTAACTGAAAACGGCTTCACTTTAGCCTGAGATCCATGACTCCTGAATCCACGCCGATGCTTTTTTCTCCTTTTTGGATGATACACCACACTTGTGCTCACAAAAGAGACCAAGTTTGTATTTTTAAGCAAACGGGGAAAATGGGTTTTCAATTTCCCTGCGTGGCGGTCTTCTTTAATAGCGTATAGTGCAGAAGATGAGAGATTTGTAGAAGAAGACACAGAGAAGAACTTTCTAGATTTCCCGGGTACAGTTTCTGGCTCAAAACTGGCAGGATCCGGCGAATTCTTGGCCGGAAAAGGAACGTGGCTATGGAATATGGTGGCACTGTTATAAGTTAAAAGGAAAAGCAAAACAATAGAAACAAAAGCATAGAAAGATCTCTTCGTCCTTTGCAAATGGTAAAGAAACTGAACCAAGGAGTTATTGACTTCTTCCATGGCTGTTTCTGGAATAAAAAAAATACTTTGTGGGGTTTTCACTGTTCAAGAGTGAGACTATTAACTATATTCTTCTCAGTAATAAAGAAGCACGAAGACAGAGAGAGATGAAGTCGAAGTGCATTTGTTTTACAATTTTTAAGGTGGGGAGGCGGCAAAAAAGAGCACGAAAATTGAAAAAAAGTGTTCTTTTCGGAAGGAAGATGAGGGCCGGGTGGTGTAGGGTGGGGTGGTTCGGGAAGAGAGTTTAATGGAAGGAAACTGTCATTGACTCGTATATAATCGGCCAAGCCCTTTTGTCTATGGGTTTTGCTACCCTGGACGAACAAGTGGCGCATGCAGTGACAGACAAAAGTCTATTTCGATTCAATACAACAAGTTTGTTGTTGCTCCTCATGTAGAATAACATTATAATGAATATTCTAAAAGAATATTAATTACTTTTGAAGAACGTGAATTATAATTTTTAATATTTCAGAAGAATATTAATCGTAGATCTATCTATTATAAATAGTTCGTTGTTGCTCCTGAAATAGCACAATATTATAATTAATATTCCTGAAAAATATTACTTGCTCTTGAAGAGTATAAATTATATTTTTTTCAGAAGAATATTAACATGTGGTTCCTGAAGAAGCATAACACCGTAAATATTATATTATCATAGAAAATATACTCTTGAAGAGTTAAAATTTTCTAAATAATAATTTATTGTTGCTCCTGAAATAACATACTATTATAGTTATATTTCGCTTGTTCCCGAATGGCATAATTAAAAATTATGTTTTTACT